TTGTTACACGATTACATAAGAAATCTTGTAAGATGAATTTCATCTGGGTAGTTAGAGAATGGCATTTTGACTAATTGTTTAGGTCTTTAACTGGTGATAAACAGTTGAAATCGGCTAACTGGAAAAAGGTGTATTGGTGATTAATAAATAAATAAATCGTAGAAACTACCACATTCGACTAATCAATATTTTGACTAAAATTTCTAATGTAGACAATTTATTTTTGCAGGGTAGGATGTAGTACTGTATAGTCATCTCTGATCCTTTTAAACATACACAACAAAATTTTTCACATTCTTAATTGTATCAGGTCATCGAAACTTGTTCTGAGAATGTAGTCTACGTTATCGTCTTAGTTCCATTCGACGATAAAACGAATGAATCTACCATGACGAGTAGATTCTACGATGCAGAAATCCTATCGTATCTTCGTGGAATTTCATGAGAAATGGCTTTTCTTATAATAACTAAATCACTTTTATCTTATTTAATATTTATTCATTTATAATTCAATCTTTTCAACAAGTTCAGTTCACTTTATTAAAAGAGAAAAATAATTATGAACATCGTTCGTGAATAATTTTGATCGTTAATTGTTCTCCTATTAGGTAATATAAAGTTAAAATATTTTTTTTATTATTCCATTACTTTCTCTTCCTTGTTCCTTGTTCATTCATCTATGTACTTTTTTTTTTTTGTTCCGTTTTTTTTAATATTTTATTTTCTACTTGAGACAGAAATAGATTTTTTTTTTCTTTTTCTTCAAGTTGATCAATGCCGTCCGTTGCTCTCAGGTTTTTTCTTTTTTTGTTCGTTACGAGCAATAGTTTTTGTGAAATGCGTGCATATTCTCTAAAACTTACATGCGCATATTTGGAATTTCTTTTTTTATCTATACTTGAAAGAGAGTATTTAGATACATCTACGCTTGGATAGTAAGTGTTAAAGCTTTTTCTTTTTTGACTACTACTGCATATTTTATTTTATTTTATTGAAAAACTATTGAAAAACTTGTTATTCAATTATTCGACAAAACTGTTAAACTGTCATTTTCGTTAACATTGCTAGATTAATCTGATCTTGTTAATAGATGGTCGTCTTCGTCATGACACGTTGATTGAGTGCAACAAAGTTTAGACTACGATAATGACAACTTTTTTTTTTTTTTGAGTTTTTTTTCTTTTTATCGTTCTGAAGACTATTTGATTCAAACAAGAGGAAAGATATGTCGTCAAAGAGAAATAAAATCAATGGATCATCTCAATTACGCTTTAACGTAATATAAAAATACTATAAATGAATATAAATTATTACACGGTCACTGCTAGAAGCATGAAACAAGAAGAAAAAGAACAGAACAGGTGTGTTACACCATTATTTTTTTTCATGACCTTTTCTGTCATTTATTAATTTTTTTCAATTCTTTTATTCAGAACAAATCAATCAAACAAATTTTCCTTTTTTTGTCCTTCCTCTTTGAATATCATATTTCTTACTGCTTTTAAATAGTAACAGATACATATAATGAACACACACACATCATTGTTCTTTTTTTTTTAATTGCAAATGTTCAGCTAATGTGTTTCTTCGACCTTGATTTGAATTTTAAGATCATCAATTTTTATTTTTTTAGTGAATAGAGAAGGACAATTCTTTCTTTAAAAGAAAAAAAATGATTGTTCTTCGTTTTTATATCCTCCGAGCAATTAGACTTTCTCCTATTACTTTTTTTTTTTTATTATAAAATTGACTAAAAAGTCAATTCGAATAAAATTCCTGAAGATCTCTTTTATTGTAAGTCACAAAACTCAAAATATTTCATGTGATAATGTTACATTTAACAGTAAGACTTGCCATTTTCTTGAAGTTTAATAACTCCAGGGGAGAAAATGATGGGTCTAGAGCGACATATGACAACATATTGTTTATTGTTTTTCTTTCGAACGACATTATTGTTCTTCGTATGATAGAGAGACGCATATCGTTTAACCTTGTTTAACGAATGTGTTGGGATAATATACAAAAATTTATATAGACAAGAATAAATTTTCTTGTGTAACGTTAACAATGTGGATGTTTCATCAATAGTTAATCTCTATTTCTACAATTCGAATAAGTGGATAGATGTACGTGTATATATATATAATAATCTTAACATCGGCATTTATTTCAAGTCTAAGGTCAAATATTTTTTTGTCTGATATAAGACAGCAAAAGAGAGAGAATTAGAGAAACGAATGAATATTCATTCAATATGTTTGTATAGAAGAGTTTCGCATTTTGAAGGAAAAAAAACGGAATAGAACGGAAATGAATGAATAATAGTAACAATAATAATGATAATAATAATAATAATAATATATAATAAAAAACAACATTCTTTTTTTTTTCTCTTTCTTCGAGAAAATTTTCTGTTAGACAATAATAGCGGGAAAGAAGAGTCATAAATATCATCTGTGTGTAGGAGCGAAGGCGTATTTATAACAACCCGAAACAAGAATGAGTAACCAGTAAAGCATGTACGCATCTTTTCTTTTTTGTTCTTACACTATCTCTTCATATATATATCTAAATAACTGTACAAATTCTAACATTATTAATCTAATACCTTGAGTGATCTTTACTCTCAAATGATACAAAATTAAGATTAGTCAAAAGAAGAGGTATGTGTAAAGTTTAATTCAAACATTTTTCCGTGATAATGATATTATTGAGAAGTGAACACCAGTATATCAATTCTATTTGATGATTCATTAAGTTTAAATATTTAGGCGTCTCTCTTTGACATTAGTTTAGGCTTACGTAACCTATACACTTCTAGAAAAACGAATTTATTCAAAAAAAATGTTAGGATTTTACAAGTAAAACAAATTAGACAATGGTATTTTTAGATGGTAGCATCACAACACATCCGATTGTTTAAAAATACAAAATGAAGAAGATAAATATGTTTTTATTTCTTTTTCTTTTTTTTTTGTTGAGTACACATGTGTCCGATGACCTTGATTGTGTTCTTTTACTATATGCTCTGAACAAAAGAAAAAAAAAAGCGGGAGTATGAGTATGTCGCGTCATAACTGAAATGTTATAAGCACACTTCATAACAATCATTTCTGTAAGTCGTTAAAGAGTTCTATTATATGAGAAAATAGAGAGAAAGAAAGAGAGCGAGTAGAAAAAAAACTGATTTAGATCACGTTTGGTAAATTTAATTTCAAGTTAATTTCCGAATATCATTAATTTTCAATGGGATACTGAATTATTTAATACCTCTCTCTCATCTCTATGATAATTATATATTGAAATCAAATATTATCTGTAACATTATTAAAACTAGTTCAGTTTATATTCATAAGTGCATATAAAGATTCGTTATGCCATAAAAAACAGCTGGTTAATTGCGTCACATTTTGAAAACGGAAACCTTAGTAAAAAAATAAAATAAAATGACACATTGTATGTATAGTTTTCTTTTTCCATAGTTTCTTCTCTGCGGTTTTTCTTTTCAATGAAAATAAATTTGTTATTATACAATCTAAAATTTGTAAAAAGCATAATACTTTTTATTTCCAGTTGTTGGACATATCTATTGTTTCTTCAATTTCTCCTTATTGTATTCATCTAACAAGAAAAAAAAAAAAAAGAAAAACTCATTTTTTTTTAAACTTTTTGAAGTTACGACATATATTCACGACACAGGATTAGAACAAGTTATATTTAACTGACCTTTCTTAAGTTTTTTTGGCAAGTATTTAATTTAGTTTGTGCTAGAACTAATATAGTGTCAAGTTTATGAGAGAAGGGAATATCTTTTAAGAAGAGTTATTGAAATCATACGATTGTGTTGAAATTTTACTTATTAGATGTATTTACTCTAGCTCTATCCATTATTCTTTAAACTTATTCATTATCTTCTCACTTGTATTATCAATCATTTTGTTTTCACAAACAAACACCCTATAATTATTAAAATAACATTTGATGAATAAGAAGAAGAATAAAAAAAACAACATAAAAACAAACAATCAATGTAAACTTCTACACAAGTAGTACACAACTGTAAGAGTGGAACAAAAATATTTTTTCCACTATACGATAAATTAAAGGCTTTGTATTACATCATTGTTCATACAACAGAAAATTATTAGAAAATAAAAAGTAATTACATGACGTTTTATGTAATTTGTCTCTTTTCTTTTTATCTACGTTTTTTTTTTAACCGATTCATTGAGTATTATTTAGTTCCGCTACATATAAAAGAAAGATGTTTAATTTTTAATCTTAACACAACTTTGTTAAATTCACTAGTAGGATATAATATAACACATTCTCCACATAGAACTATGAACACTTTTTTTAAAAATAACCTTGACCATGACCTACATTTCTGATAACCACAGAAAGATTTGTATACTCACTCTCTTTCTCTCTCATTTACATTATTAAGTTGTTACGCATCATGTTGGTCTTTAACAAAGAAGAAGAAAAACGAAAGAGGAATGGAAATAAATCATCGGTTTCAATTACAATGAGTCAGAAATGATTAAGATCTAGAATAAGATAGAAATTTGAAGTATATCAAAAGAGATACAGAATTGTCTCTATATAGCGAAAAGAGAGACAGAAAATTAATTTTATTAATTGACAGTATATAGTCAAAAATTTATTGTTTTAAGATAAGATCTGTCTTATAGAAATAATAATAATAATAATAACGATATATCTCTCTATAAGTGAACATTTAAACTAATGCTCGTTTCTTTTTTGAGGATGAAACAGAAGTGTGTGTTAATTCTTTTTTTTTTTTGCATACCATCACTGTTCTATCGACATGTATTTTTTACATTTCAACGTTATTTCTTTCGTTATTTTAGATAAATACAACAACAATGAGCGTTATTATTTCCCATAGGACATTTTTAAATATTTACATGTTAATATTATTACTCATTCTCTCAATAGTATTAATTCGTGGCGAATCTTGTGATATTATTATCGATATGGATTGTACATGTTACGATAATTCTGAATTACGTTGTAGCACATCAAAATCATTATCAAATGGTTTATTAGTTGTAAAAAATTTGATGGGAAAAAATTTTAAAACACTAGACTTTAAATTTGATTCAACAAAATTTGATTTAACAGCCGATTATTTTTCATCATTGACAACTTTAATCGATGATAGTCATACATCTCACATAAGTATTACATTTCGTTATCATAATTTTGAACTATTTCATTCTCATACTGCAGCATTTCGTTCATTATTTGATAATATAAAATATCAAAATCGTATTCGTACACGTTTAACAATTGAATTACATGCACTCAAAGCTAAATCAATTTTATTTGATTCAAATTCATTTGATGAATTACATGTTGATGAATTATCAATTTATGCCGATAGTTTATCATCACCATTTGAAATGATATTTAATCAAACAAATATTACACATTTAAATATTGAAGGTGCCATTGTTCAACATGATCCTGAATTGATAAAAACATTTACGGGTAAAATAAAAGCATTTAAAATAACGCGTATGATTGATACTGTAAATAGTGATGAATTTCCACCATTTCCTGTTGAATCATATGTTATTGAAGCACATAAATTACGAAAATTAGAAGCATTAACATTTGAAAATTATACACAGTTAAATGGTATTAATATCATTCAACCAGATGTTTCTATTACACCACAATTATTAACAGGTCTAGAAAAATTAACAAAATTAAATGCAATGTCATTTGATGCGGAACGAATTGCCGATGGTGCATTAAAACATGTTAAACAGATTAAAACATTAGCATTTGGACCCTATTTAAAAATGATTGATGGTGAAAGTTTACAATCTTTAAAATTATTACAACAATTAGATGTTAGATATGTTCAATTTCCAACATTACAAGGTAATTCAAGTTGTCTATTGGCTGATTATATTAATAAACGTCGTATGCTAGGTTTAACCGTCTATTTACCACAAGAAAATCCGGACTGTGATTGTATTTTAATATTTTTAAATAATATGATTGATGATGGTTCACAATTAAAACAATGTTTTGAAACTACAAATGATCGATGTTTATTTTCTAGTTGTCCATTTATTGCTGACTATTTTCAACGTCAACAGCAAGAACCAGAACAACAACAACCCATACCCACAAAACCAGATACAAAAAAAATAAATGAGCCGTATGATGAAGATACAGATACATATCTATCGTCCATTGATAATACACCGTTTGTTGTTGACTTAGATGTACCACCACTATTGAATGATACATATTTTGAAGAACATATTACAACTACAACTACTGAATTAACAACCACAACGCTCAAAACTAACTCTTTCGTTATAATTAATGACGATAAAAATGAGAAAATACAGATAACTACATCTAATCCTAACGATTTTGACTTTCCAGTGTATTTTACAACATCAGTTGAACGTCGTTTAGAACCAAAACATCAACGTTATACATTAGTAATTAGTTGGATACCATTTGCTATAATTGCTGCATGCCTATTTTTATTACTTATTGTTTCCATGATTGGTTATGTTATCTATTATAAACATAGAACAGCATCATTTAAACTCGTGCCAACAACACCGATTATTTGATATAATGTTTATTATAAGCACAGATGATCATATTATGTCAGCATCACAAGTTATATGTAAACAGGTGCTCATCGATCTCCACCATGTCAGATTTAGAAACTGAACTAGTCAAAAATATTACTTACATTGAACAAGGATCGAGATGTACGAATGAAGCCAAAAAATAGACGATCTCATTTGAGAGAATGAAACCTACCAATAATTCCATATTCTCCATGTTAATTGTTGTTCTTCTTCACATGTACCTATTATTATTACATTGTTTTTTTGTGATATGTTGCAACAGTTTTGCTTCTTTTTCTACGTCTATTTTCCGTATTTTATATGTCAGTGTGTGTGCAAAAATAATAAACCATTTAGAACAATATATCCATATATCGTTGTACAAGTCATTTTTTCAGTATTTTTTCACTACTCTACATAAACTTTGCTGTATTATATTTTTTATGTTTATCGATATTAATTTTTTTTTTGTCCGATATATATTTAGTATAAACACGCAGAATTGAACTAAATCGATAATAATTAAGTTTATCAAAAAAAAGGTAATTTATGCAATATTCATCGTTCACCCTTTTCACATGATCAACCACTTCTTCACATCAACTGAAATACTATTTTTAACGCGTTTTTACCTTCAATTTTTGTTTCCATTCAAATTTATAATTCAAATTTTAGACGAGTCTTTTATTTTTAACATGATAGACGCGTATAAGAAATAAAAAATTTTCTTACCATCAATTATTGTATTTGGTCAGTTCTACTTATATGCTTGTTTTTAACTCTGTTGCCAACTTACTAAATCAGTAGTACCAATCTTCTAATATCGTTATTTAAACATTTATAGGTGCACAGGTGATTATTAGGCTACTAACATGAGATTATATCCAGTTGTTGTTTGTTAATGTGCGACAATAGAAACTGTTAATTTATACAATGTTCCCTTCAGACTAATGAGGCATCGTTTTCCACACAGTTTTTAATGGCTGTTAGTTTTATAATGAAGATCACGAATTCGATATTCGCTTCTATTGTTAGGCTAACCTATGACGAATAATCCAATTGCTAATAACGTGCCAAACTTCTATATTTTATCAGAAGCAGAGACGCTCTTCCAATCCTGGGTCAAATGAGACCGATTGACTAGGTGACTAATATCGAAAAAGTTTTATGAGACGATGATTAATAAAACAACTCAACATTGAATGATAGACAGAGGTATTCTTGTTTCGTCGATACTAATTTCTTGCTCGATTCGTCGACACTTTTTTTTATCTTGATATCGTCGACACTATGGTTTTAATCAATTAAGCCTGACGTCGACACTTTTTTATCCTTTGTAAAAACATGGAATTCTAGTTGCAATTATAAAAATGTATACCACAATTTCAAATTTGAAAAAAGTTAATAAAATTCAATAAAAAAGATCAACTGAGCAACGGATTTCTTTATCAAAACTAATAGTGTACAGAAAACAGTTGTAGTTAATAATAAAAAATGTATAAATATATCAAAATGATCATGCATATAATATAGCTTTGAAAAAAATTTGTACAAAGCAAAATAGTTTACACCACGTAAGAAATTATATGTTAATCGTAATCATCGTTTACATAATTTAGAAAGATAAATATAAACAAAATAAAATAAATTTAAATGACTTTTTGTGTAAGGTGTCAAAAACAATAGGTGTTAAAAAGGTTTCATCCTTTTGTCAAATGTTTTTCAAGACTATATTGTATGCATGATCATTTTGAAATAAAAACTTTATAATTGCAACTAGAATTCCATGTTTTACAACGGATAAAAAAGTGTCGACGAAAGAAGAATCAAGCCTAATTGATTAAAAACATAGTGTCGACGAATCAAGATAAAAAAAGTGTCGACGAAACAAGAATGGATTTGATAGATAATGATGTCCCATATACAAAAAGACATTTGTCATTTTGAGTTGTTATCAAAAAATAGTTCATCTTTTCTGATTACATTTATTGAATAGTTCTTTTTTTTTACTCATTTTCCGTGAAATCGATTTAAATTAATCAAAATTCTCACACCTTATTTTTCACCACGTCACTTTTAAGACATTTCGATGTCTACACAATAGAGTATATCAATTTTACTAAAACAAGAACTATAAAATGATGAGTCAACGTCAAAGTTTGATGTGGATTTTGAGAGCTATGAGAATTGTGATGTCATCATTGCATGAATTCTATGCACAAGCATACATACTGAGACAAAAAAGTGACCATCTGACTATCAGATCATTTGCGTTTTAGTAAAAAAGGATAGAAACGAGATATTCCGGAAATTATGCACTCAAATGACATGAAACTTGTTGAATAATTATCATATTGTTCAGACTATACAAAATTTAAAGTCGCCTTGATACTCTGTATATTTCGTTTTCTTGCAACTCAACTATTCACTCTGGCAGACAGATTATATCCCATTCGCGCCGCGCGCGGGGGGGGGGGGGGGGGTGGGCTGGGGGGGGCGGG